CAGCAGGAAATGAAGCGCGCTAAAGTTTCCCAAGCTCTGTTTGCAAAGGTGGCAGCAACCAAAAGCCAGGTAAGAGCCTCTGTTAGGCATGGAGAATGTTTATCTGCGATGCCTGTGAAAGTTCATTCGAAGGGGTGTCTATTTGCAAGTTGAACTTGCATCCCTGAGAGGTCACGGTTTCCAGGATTATTGACAGAGCTCATGATGAAACAGAGTGTTCAGATTCAGGGAACAGAGACACTTGGTTGTGTTTCCTCCAACATCTACTGTCCAGACCACAGATTTCTCAGGAAATCCCTCAGTCAGTTAATAGTTGTTTCCCGAAGAGTACTGTAGTGTATAGGAGGTTTCTCCATCTGGTCTATTGTAATGGAACAAATAACTTGAATTATTATTATTTCATTAGTACTTAGGTGACCTTGATTTCTATCCTAAAATACTACGAGCATTGTAGTTTTTTTCTGTTCCAACTCAGGCATCTACAACTGTTGGGTGTGCTTATTAAAACAAACTGACACACACACACACACACACACACACACACACACACAGCTTTGCAAAATAATGATTTTAGTTATATATATATATATATGAGACACACAAATTTAATTACAATTAGAAAAATTGTCTAAATCTTTTGAATTATAAATGAATCGAATTGAATGGGGAAAGTGACAGATCCCTACAAGACATAACGATGGATAGATAATGCAGTCTTTTTGTCATATATTGATAATTTATATTCATCAAAAGTAGAGTCATCTACGTGAACAAGCTCACAGTTATCTACAAACCCTTGTTCAAGGCCAGGAATACTTTTTAAAGGACCAGAAGAATACTGGTCTTGTCCAGTATAAGTCTTGTCCCCTTTGCAGAAAGATTTGATAACACTATCAAAGTGAGATTGAGAGGCAATCAAGGAAATTTTAGACAAATATATTTCATTATCGTTAATGAACTCTCCTTTATAAAACAGCCTGGCTGCTGTCAGCCTCTGATAAAATTATACAGTCCTGAGACTATTTACAATATGATGTATTTACAATACAGTACTTTCATTATTAGGTTTTTCTGAAATTTCACTCTAGCAACATTAATAGTGGTCCTTGATGGGAGTTTTGCTTGAGAAAAGGTTGTTCTTGTTTAAGTTATAGGCTGGCTGGAACTACGTAAGGGATATCTTGGAAATGTTATATAAAAATGATTAAACTCAAGCTGTGGACTGTAAAAATTATAGCTTTATAGGCCACATGCCTGCGTACCCTTCAATCACTGTCAAAGTGATAATTTCTACAATAATATGTTTCTTTTATTGTGAGATTCTAAACATCAAGTGCTGTTTAAACATTAAACTGAATTGTTTATGTTAGTGCCATACTCAGCGTGTCATACATCAGGCCACCGTAATCTCTCATGGAATGTAAAATTCTGTCATGAATCATGGCTTGTATATCGGAAATTACTGTAATTTTGATTGGAAATTACAGGGCTCTTGAAATGTTTCTAATTATGATAGAATGTCAGAGCCGCTTCAGACCTGTGTGCTTCTTCAGATGTCTTCATTTACATGCCAGGACTAGGCATTAAGGAGAAATGTCCTGTTCGCACATCGCCCCTCACCCACCCACCCTGCACTTTCTTCTTTTGGCTATTTAGTCTAATTAGGATGAGGATCTCATATTTCAACATAGTTTATCCTGCTTTTCCTTCTGATTCTGCATCTCTTCTGACCTTTCCAATTAAATTATCAAGAATAACAGACTGTCTTCTTACAAGGCCAAACACTTTCCCCCAATCTCCAGAATAGATAAACAGAGAAACTAAACATGCATTATTGTGATAAGGGGCAGCCTTAAAACCAGCAAACAAAAATAGAATATTAAAACTTTTGGGTAAGTTGGCATCTGTCATATAATCACCACCACCCTCCCTCTCCTTTTTGACGAGAGCATAGCTCCTTCTGGCTAGCAGCGTTTTTGCGACCTTCATTGTTTCTTTCTTTTAAATGATATCCCCAATTCTCCCCTCCTGGGCTGAGTTCTGATTTTGGAGCTATTCAGACAGTGGTAGCAATGGGTTGATAATGTCATGTGAGTGATATTCTAGGGTTTTTTTTTAACATCTTTGCTCTTTGGACTCCTGTCCTACGAAGCTCCCCGTGAGTCACTTTCAAAGATGTCAGTTGCCAACTTCTGTGTATCTGCCATGATGGTGTGTTCCCCAGAACCCCCAAAGCTGCTAGCTCGTCTCCTCATTACTGGTTGAAAGAGATTCCAAGGGGCCAGTTGTAGACTACTGGGGCCCAGCAGACTGTTAACTTTCATTCCCTCACATAGTTATTCCTAACTACTAATTTACTGGAACTTCGTTAAAAAGCGTTTCTGTAGCTTTCTCTTAGGTGTTCAGTTTAGATGTTAGCACTGCCCTCTTTATGAAAATCTAAGAGTTGATGATTACTGAAAAATAAGTCCAAAAACTGTATATATCCCTAAGAGAAGAGATCTAACTTAACAAGGGCAGGTAGTCCATTGACTTGAGTTCTGTTCACCTGCCATGATTTTTTGTGAAGGAAACAGAAAAACTAGAAAACAAACCAAAGCCAAAAAAAAAAAAAAAAAAAAAAAAAATCTTCAAATCCGATGTACCTTTCTCGTGGTCAGAATTCTTAACTTGAGCAAGAGTTGTTTATGCCTTGGAGATAGGTGCCAAGGCTTGTCAGCATGGGCAGAGGTCCTCCCAAATGAAACACGTGTACAGTGTGCTGGAGCCATTTTATCTCAACCGGTCCAGCCCCATCTGCTTCTGTATCTCTCCCTGATTCTCTATGTTGGCCTAACATTCACTACCTTTTTTGTGCTAGACCCCGTCATGTGTTATATATTATCTGCATTTAGTTCTCAGTAACCCTGTGGGCTGTAACATTGATTTCCTCATTTTACACGAGGGTTACTTGACTAAAAAGTAGGAGAGCCAACCCCAAATTCTGCATCTCTGCATCACTATTTTAGTGTCTCCTCAGGGTTCCAGGCAGCATCAGGACCAAAGGAAAGAGGAATTAAGGATGCTGGACTAATTGATAGTGGAATGGGAGGGGCTTTCCTTTCTTCACTGACATATTCATGGAATATGGGTTCTTGCCAACATAGGGCCCTTAGAAGCCAAGCTTTTTCATGTCTGTTTGGGGTTGGGGGGTAGGGAAGGGTACATGGTGGAGGACTCAAAGGACGCTGTGGTCCAGGCTGAGTCACTGCTGTTCTGGTATTTTAACCTTTTTGAACCCAAAATTTCTTTTAACATGGGAGGAGCTCCCATGCTGTCATGCATGCAGAAGAGCTTTTAGATTTACAGCACTGTAACACAAATAGATAATGTCTTACAGTGTGCTAAGCAAAAGACTCGGATCTGCACACAGAGTGACTTATTTATTATCTATTTATGTATCTCAGATACTTTTTATTTTACAAGGTAAAGCTTTAGGTAAATCCCCTGAATGGCAGGCAGCAGAATTATTTTGAAAAGATAGTACAGCCCCAGAATGTGGTGGAACCAGACATGTGTAGCTGTGGTCTGCAATGACTAATGCACAAAGTATTTTCAGGAAAAGAAACCAACTTTTCAGATCCCACCATTTCACATGTATTATACTTTCTCTTTGATGAGTAACAGAAATGAGATTGTTTTTAACGTTAATAGAAATGTCTGGGTAAATTATGCAACTGCAAACTGAAGGTAGGCTACTTTTTGTGCTTGGGTAGGAAAGCAGGCTAATGCAAACTTTAAAAAGATGATATGCTTTAAACATAATGTGAATCGCTACAGATGAATATGCCGTATATTGTGGGTATTCAAACAAGCAGCCTTTTTTCCAAGTGAATCATATTAGAATTTTATCAAACATTTAGTCTGATAACATTCAAATAATTATGAGAGCAGAATTCGCTAATTTTACTGTTTAAAAAAAAATAGTTGATTTACGGTATCAAGGTTCAGTTACTGTTTAGTGGTTATAGTGTTTTCATATGGGAGACGGAAATGGAATTTTTTCCTTAATGGTGGCAGATGTTGGAATCTAATTTTATTCCACAGCAAACCTCCTGAGAGCTCTGAGTCTTAGGTGTATGTCCAGCAAGGGGACATTAGCAGTGCCGTAGGCCTTGCCTTGTACATCGAATTGTTACATTGATCTTCATGTTTGCAGAGGTGGAGCTTGCAGATACAGTAACGCAGTCAGAATAAAGCGCTTTTCCAGAGCGGCTGCATCCCCACTTGAGTTTAGAAAATGATTTCTCTCTAGTGCTTTATTGAACAGGGTATTTCTTTTAGGTAAAGCAGCTAGATGATGGAAATTCTATTTGACTGAGCATGCTTTTCAATAGAATCTTTTGCAGTCTCTACCTACCAGTCCTGTAGTTACTGGACTCTTTGGCTGCAACAACTTCGACTGCTTGATAGGTGTGGTTTTTTGCACTAAAAAAAGAATTTCTGCCTCTGTGAAGATAGCACGACCAGTAGAAGAGACCAAATGATTCGAAGCCTTTTGCTTTCTTCCATCTACTTTTCAGACACTTTTGTCATTGAGATTCAAGACCTCTAGGATGGGAGAGAGAGGGGAGAGAGAAGGAGAAAGAAGAAAGCTTTAGTGCTTGTTGGGCTTGTAGGTAAAAAAAGGAAAAAAGCATCTTCAGATCTGGTAATTCTTAGGTGGTGATTGGAATGCCTTAAATATAAGTAAGACATGATATGTCACAAATCACTAGAGGTAGAAATAGGGCTAAGAATGTCATTTTCATTGCTGGTTATAGGAATCTACAGTGATAAAATCCAGGAAAAAAAAAAATCATGGCACCATGACTGCATTCTGTATTCTAGCATGTCAGCGAAGGCATCTTTTATTTTGTTAGCATCAAATTACGCTTCACGGAAACTACACTTTGAAGCCCTGTGCTGATTCATTTTTTGGGAATGTTCACATAACACACTTCACTGCAACACGATTTCACCTGTGTAGCCTCCTGTTTCAGATCCACAGGAGGCCCCTGCAGATTTGCGAGTCACAGTTCCGGTTATTT